TGAACTGTAAATAGAATCACAAAGCATCACAAACTGGGAAATGAGAGACCAGGAGAGTCACCTATGATCTTTTTACCCTACAAGTGGAGTGCAATCTTTTTATATCTCATGAAGTGGTGACTGTTATTTTTGTGGTAGTGGTAGGGGGCGGATGGGTGAGGTGTTTTCTTGGGTGTGCATTTGTGTTTGTTTGAAGAAGGCTGCATGTTTTAAAGGCTGGAGATTCTCTGCTGCAGCACTGTGGGAGGAGCTCCTGCCCTAGGCACCCCCACAGCCACCATTCCCCACGTGACCATGAGGCCCAGAGCCCTCCAACCCTGCACTGGTCGCAGAGGCTCTACGGGATTCTGCTGAGTCCAGTGAAGTGATGACTTGGTTTATAAAACTGGACTGCTGTCTATATCAATATGGTTTTTATAGCTCCATAATTTAAACCTTTCATCAGAAGGAAAGGTGTTCAGGAAAACCAGTAAGAGCCCCTCTCAGAAGCTCAACAGGAATGGAGATGCCTGTGACGACAGCCACTGTGGCACGGCATCCACTGCCACCCACCACCAACCTGGTCAAGGAGAGTGAGACACGGACCCTCCTCTAGAAGGCCGCAGGCCAGCAGGGGAGGGACGCCCAGGGCATCTCGGAGGGAGAAAGAGGCTTCCAGGAGGAGGCAGGACCGGTCCTGGGAACCGAGGAAGGAAAGGGACTTCCAGAAAGGAGAGAAGGAATGAGCAAAGGGGCAGGTCCCAGAAACTGCAGGGGGTGGGTCAGGAGACAAAGAGAAGAGAGGTTGACCCACGGTTCCTCCAAGGGTGGAGCCATGTGGCAACTTGAACTTTATCTGGAGCCAGGTGACTGCTATTTCTGCCTGGACCGTTAGATTGCCTGGTTTATATCTGTCTCCCCACTGGGCTGTGAGCTGCTGAGGGCAGGACACAGGCAGGAGCCTGACGCGAGCCCCATCTGGAGGGGCGAGCTCCCACCTCAGTCCTTGGGACCCCAGACAACTTTGGGTGCAAGGTCTTTTTTTTTTTTTTTTTTAAAGGAAACGCATTACACACGGTCTTACACAAACTAAACCACTAGATGGTGCTAAGTGACTTTAACGAGAAATGAGACCTGGGCGGCTCCCACTTTGCAATTTTAAAAAGTGACTTTCTTTACTTCCCTGTCACAGAAATTCTCAGTCCACGCAATTTAGGGAACTAGAATTACCTGTCCTTTCCTCTCCACCTGTCCGAAGTGCTTCTTCCAGGGCTCTTAGGGGTATATGTGCACTTATTTGAAGGAGAGGCTTCCAGCTCCAAGCCCAGGCACCGTTCTCCCATCCTCCGCCCAGCCTCTCCCAGACCGAGCCCGCAGAGCCAAGCGGAGGGCTCGTGAAAACAAGGCGCACCGGCCCGCCCCAGAGCTCCTGGGTCAATGGTCTGGGGTGCCTGTGAATTTGCATGTCTGACAAGTTCCCAGGTGGTGCCGCCGCTGCTGGGACGGGGACCTCACCCTGAGGACCCCTGCTGTGGAGAGTTCGGGAAGCTTTGAACGCCCTAACCATAGGCGGAACCCGCTGCCAGGCCCTGGGGCTACCAGACGCTCTCCCTCGGCCCGCCCTCCACCGAGTTCCGGCCACAGTGCGGGCCCTGCCCAGAGGTGTGCGGTCAACATCTTCCTTCAGCTCTAGCTTAGCTGCTACATTAGGAAGCCACTAAAACCTTTAAAACCAGCAAAAACCCAGCCACAAACATTGGAAATGAGGCCCAAGCCTGGGACACAGGGGGACGGGGTGGAACATTCGCCCCCTCCCCGGGACCCGCCCCTACCCTGTGGTTCTCAGTGTGGCTCCTGGACCGGCAGCAGCACCATCTCCGGAACACCTGAACATGCAGCGTCCCGGGCAACTCCCCAGACCCACTGAGTCAGGAGCTCCCGGGCGCGCCCAGCCACGTCTGGGTTTTCATCAGAGCTAAGGAGGCAGAATTTTGGCCCCCATGACCGTTTCCCCTTGGTGCTACACCCTTGGATATGTTACATGGCAAAAAGGGACTTTGCAGATATAATTAAGGTTCTTAATCAGTTACCCTTTTTTAAGGAAAGGAGTTTATTCAAAATTATCCCCAATCACAGGAGCCCTAAAAACAGAAGTCAGAGAAACGCATAAGTCCAACTCAATTAGATGAGACGCAGGAAGAGGGTTCAGAGCTCGCTGCCGGCTTTGAACATGGAGGGGCCTGAAGCCAAAGAGCATGGGCAGCCCTGACACCCACTCCTGGCCAGCAGCCAGAAAAGAAGGAGGGTCCTCACTCCTGCCAAGAACTTGAATGAGACTGGAAGCAAATTCTCCCCCAAGAGCCTCCGGACAAGGGCCCAGGCTGGCCAACATCCTTCTTTCTACCTTTTGAGACCCAGAGCAGAGAAACCGATAGGACCCGCCCAGACTTCCCACCTACACAACTGCGATGACACAGGTGCTGTTCCAAGCTCCTGTTAGTGGTGACTCATCAAGACAGCAGAAAATGGACACAGTCCTGTTTCATCAGCCCTATGCTACAGCTTGTTACTGAGCATAAGCACATCTGTCATTTTATATAAAATGATTCAGTAATATTTTGATAACTGTTTTAATATAGTTAGTTTCTTTTCTTTTTTTTTTTTTTTTTTTTTGAGACGGAGTCTTACTCTGTTACCCAGGCTGGAGTGCAGTGGCTCAATGTTAGCTCACTGCAGTGTCAACCTCCCCAGGCTCAGGCATTTCTCCCACCTCAGCCTCCTCAGTAGCTGGAACCACAGGCATGCACCACCACGCCCAGCTAATTTTTGTATTTTTTGTAGAGATGGGATTTCATCATGTGGCCCAGGCTGGTCTCAAATTCCTGGACTCAATCAGTCCATTCACCTTGGCCTCCCAAAGTGCTGGCATTACAGGCATGAGCCACCACGCCCAGCCTGGGTTCCTTTAAATTATCTGTACTTTATTTTATGCCTTTACCATCATTTTTCTGAGAAGGGGTCTCCATCAGACTGCCAAGGGTGGCAGTGGAGGAGGCAGCACAGAAGAGATGCTTGAGACCCTACTTTAGAGACGAGGGCAGCAGAGAAAACCCAGGAAGCCCTCCTGCAGCCACTAAGGACAGAAACAGGTGGCCAACCAGCAGTTTCATTTCATGTTCTCAGAAACCAGGTTAATCTGTTGTGAAATTTCTTATTTTGATATTCAACAAATACGTACATGTACACAGAGGAAAATTCTTTTTGTCCTGGAACTGGAATGTGCCATCTAGGCTGAGGTCCTTCATCTTTCTCAGTATCTCTAGGGCAGTGGTTTTCAACTTTAACACCACCGCCCCAGGAAAAACCACATTTCTCATTGCAAGCCATACACATCAGATAGATGTGTGTGTGTGTATTTCAACATATCCATATGGATGCAGAGATAAAACGAGGGCTTCACAAAACAAATCCTCCCTTTGGCTTGCTGTACACTCTGTTTTTCTTATTATATTTTAGTCTAGCATTTTGTTGACTTCCTTTTACATGCCAATCAATTCTACTGAATTCGTTTTACATCCAAAAATGAGTTGTCACTAGTCGTTTGGAAAACACTGGTCTCTAGGACCATGACTGGGCTTGTATCCATATCCCTATTCACATACACAGCACACACACACACACACACACACGACACACACACCACACACTTCACATATGCATCCCACATATATCACACATACCACACATATCACACACACACCCCACATACACAAACACATACAACCCTTATTCTATCCTGTCAGAGCCTCAGAAGAAACCACACATGCCCCAGTCACCAGGATGATGCACATGGTCCCTGAGCCAGGGTTTCTCTCACAAGAAGGAAGAGTTTTAAGGGCCTTACTTGGTTTCTCCTGCTGCGATCGTCAGCTCAGGGGACCACCACAGACCTGGGTTTGCTTTCCAGTAGCCCCTAGGAGCTGCTGCACTGTGAGTTTTGTGTGGTGCGTGCTGGGATGGGAATTAGGAGGTGAACTCCAAGGTCCCAAAATGAAATCCTGAGCAGACATGGGGACACTGGAAATCAATAAAAAGCACAACATCTAGTTGTGGCTTCACATTTTTTCCCATTTTGTGGGCCCTGGCAGGGCAGAGACAGAGTAACACATAACGTCCAAATGGTCCGCGCTTTCTGAAGCATCCGATGTTTACACGTTTTGCTCTCTTGTCCCCACGTGTACTTGTTAAACCAAATGTCAACTTACTTTTTGGTTTGGGAAACGTGGTTAGGGAGCCATACAAAGGTGCAGTATTTTAACCCAGCCGTCCCCACGGAATGCCCTGCTGGAGGGTAACGAGAAAGAGAGAGAACTGGAAGGAACCAAGGAAGATGAGCCAGGAAGTAGCCAAGAAGACACAGGCCACAGGACAGCGTGGGGCTTTTCTGTTTTGTTTTCAAATTAAGCTTCACCCAAAAGGGGTGGGGGTAAAAATGTGAGCTTTCCACCAACACGTTTCTAACTAGAAGCAAACAGTGATACAATCACTCTTTCCAGGTTGTAATCAAATTCCGAAGGAGAACTGTTACCATGAGAAGAAAAACAGAAGCACAGATTTGAACAAGTGGAGGATAAAAGTCCCTACTGTGTCCGTTTCTTCTTATTCTTACAAAGTTTGACCTGGGCAAAATGAATGCATGATGTAGACACTGGGGCAGCCTAAGCCTAAGCCTCGGAGGGGAGGGCATGACTTAAAGGAGTCCCAAGGGGCACCTCTGAGGGGCCAGGAATGAGCATGACGCCTGTGTTCACTGGCTCAGGACTCTCCCTTGTCCTGGAAAATTCCTCAGTCCAGGGCAGAGCAGAGCGGTTGGTCACCCACTCCGAAAACCCTGTTTCTGCCAGGAACATACGATATGTTCAGCATGTGACCGCTCCTCAAGCTGCATGCGTGTGCTGCGCGTAACGCCTCCATAAAACATGTGGGAAGCCCCAATGCGCATGCAGCAGACTCAAGCGTACCTGGGCCTGCAGCTCCACTCTCTGCGCCTGCAGGTGGGCGAGCACCTCGCGGCCCTCCTCCAGCTGACTCCGCAGAGCGGCCACCTCCCGCTCCGTCAGGAGCTTCTCCTGCACAGAGAAGGCCAGAGTCAGATTCACAGGACATGCAGAGAGGAAAAGGGCAGAGAAGGTGTGGGGCCCTGGTATGGATGGAATATCCGTGTCCCCCTGAATTCTGTGTTGAAGTCCTAACTCCCAAGATGAAGGTTTCAGGAGGTGGGACCTTTGCAAGGTGTTAGGGTTAGATGAGGTCATGAGGATGGGGGGCCCCATGATGTGATTAGGGTCTTTGTAAGAACAAGAAGAGACACCAGAGCCCCCACCCCCACCCCCTGTCTGTCTGTCACATGAGACAAAGCAAGAAGGCAGCCATCTTCAAGCCAGAAAGAGAGCCCTCTCCAGACACCAATTCTGCTGGCACCTTGATCTTGGATTTCCAGCACCCAGGACAGTAAGAAATAAATGTCTGCCTGTCGGCCCTCCCGTCTATAGTGTCCTGTTATAGTAGCGTGAGGAGACTAAGCCAGGCCCACAGCGCAGCCATCAATGGCTTTTGCTTTGTCTTCAAAGTCTGAACCTCCTTGGGAGTGTGAAACGCCGGGACCAAGTACCAGGAGACCAGAGCTTAGACCTGGCTGTGCCGTGAACCTACTAAGAGACTCTAGAAAAGGCATTTGACTCTCAAAGCCTCTGTTTTCCCTTCTGTGAAAAGGAAAACCTGGAATGCACACTCTCTAAGAAAATGAAGGTTGGTTGGAGCCGGAGCCACACGCTGTGCTCCGATGTCAGCGCAGCACAAAGCAGGAGCCATCAGCCCCAATGGGGGAAAGAGAAGTGACGCTCCAGGGAATGGCTGGAAGGAAATCCTCCAACCTCTCCACACTCTGCCAAGCAGGTGCCTCTCTCCTGACCTGCCTTTCCATATTTATTCAAAAATATTCAAATTGTTTCACAAAGGCCTGACTGCTCAAGAGCCATGCATTCTGACACAGAGCACATTGACTCGAAGCCACACAAAATCAAACACCAAGTCTACACTGAGGGTTTCTGTGTCCAAGCCCATGCATGGCAGGCAGCCTCTGCTTCAAACACCTTACAAAGTGGCTGCAGCAGTGACACAGACATACAGGAAAGTGACTGTCTAATTTGACTACAGAATTGCTAAACTAAGACTCATAAAGATGTGATGCTTTCTCAATTGGTGCTTCTCTAGCCTGAGTATGCCCACGAGTCCCTGAGGATCTGGCTAAGATGCAGATTCTGTCTCAGTGGGTCTGAGGCTGGGCTGGACACTCTGCACATCTCACAAGCCCAGGTGATGCTGATCGATGACATCAAAGTCAGTCCAGTGTCTGTGTACTTACGACTTAGAAGGATCTTATTACAAGGGAATAGACGACACAATTCAAAAGGTATGCTCGGATGTAAAACACCTTTGAGTTAGAGGACAAAAGTGGGTTTGAAAAAATAAAAATAACATCTCTGGAAAGGGATCTCTGGCAAAGAAAATTAAGACTTCCGGAAAAGCTTTTTTAGGCCTTAGTAGCAACCTCGGTTACATCCATAAGGACAACAAGATCCTGAAACGGTAATTGGTGGGCAATTCAGACAAGACTATCCTCATGAATGCCAAAAAAGGTAACTTTCCTGTCTCTTAGATGATACTTTGCAGGGTTCAAAAGTGTCTTCTAAAGCAAATTTGAGGATTTCTTTAGCTTTGTATAAAATAATTAAGATGAAAAAGTTCAGGTAGCTGGTGACCCCAGCCCATGGGTTCTGCAGCAGCTTGTCTGCATGCTGCTCCTGGGCAGGCCCCACCTCCTGAGCAGCCCATTCATTGACTCGGAGCATGGCCTGAGCACACATCTAGGCAATTGCAAGTGTCACCAGGGTTGAGAGCCACCATCCTAGATCATCCTTGCAAAAAGACCCAGAACCTTATCTCTTGCCCAATCCACCAAACCCTGTACTAGCCTACCACAACCTCTGGAGAAGGGACACTGTAACATTTTTATTTTAATTTGCATCATTTCCAGTGTTTTGGGGTTTTTTTGTTTCTTGTTTGTTTGTTTGTTTGTTTAGAGATGGGGTCTTTCTATGTTGTCCAGGCTGCTCTTGAACTCCTAGCCTCAGGTGATCCTCCCACCTCAGCCTCCTGCGTAGTTGGGATTACAGGCACGAGCCACCTCACTTGGCACCAGTCTATTTATATATATATCATGCTATGCATCACAAAATTCCATAAACCATATTAGGAAAAAAAACTACTATCCTGTTGAGCAGCTAAAGAGCTAAATGAAGAAGGAATTTGGAACATAATATCGGAAATAATTTTTCATATCCAAATCTTTAGTTTTTACAAATCGGCTTCAACAATCTCTATCCTTTCCCACTAGTTTCCATGCCACAGGCTCACATAATCATTAGCAGAGTTCCGTCTTGAAAATATATTCACTAATTATCTGAGATTCTCTGTATTTTAAATTCATGAACAGATTGATAGGGAGAATAAGGAAACAAACCAATTTTTTAAATGGGCAAGAGGCTTCAGCAGATACTTCCACAAAGAAGCTATCCGGATGGCAGATAAGTACACAAAAGGATGCTCAGCTTCCTTAGTCATTAGGGGATGCAAATTAAAACCACCACCATTAGAAGAGCAAAGACACACTAAAAAGCTGACATACCAAGTGCTGACAAGGACAGGGAGCCACAGAAACCCTCACGCATTGTGGGTGGAGATGCAACAATGGCACATCACTTTGGAAAGCAGCTTGGTCATTTCTTATAAAGTATGCAAGGAAGAACAGCTCGTAATTCTCAAGAGAAAATACCGAAGAAAATGGTCAAGGACGCAGTTTACATCCTCATGTGTCTAAATATTGGCATTTACAGTACAAGAAAAATATCAGAAGAACAAACTTCAGATGAGGATACAAAGCAGAAGTGGGGAGTGGACCCTGGTGGCCACCCTCACAGTCCAACCTGTGAGCCCTTCCCTGGGAGTCTGCAGATACAGCTTCCCGCCAGGGCTGGTTTGCCTTTTCCTGCTCCAATTCTTACCTCCCTCATCCCACTCGTCACAATGGATGCTGGAGGAGTGGTGTGGATGATCTGCTGCAGGATGCTGATATAGGTCTGAACTTCCAGAAGATTCTGTTAGGGGAGGGAAAGCATTCTCGTTAGAAGTTGAGCTGTGCTGGTTTTTCCTTCTAGTACTAGATGAGCACAGGAATGGACACTTCCATATGCTGCATCATCACATACGGGACAGGCCATGACCAGGTTCAGGAGGAAGAAGAGACTGATGCATCTGCTGCCGTCGGTGGGCCTGCCCACATGTGCACCATGCTCATTCCTGGCCCCTCAGTCTCCTTTAAACTTCACAAGAACAATGGGGCAGATGAATAAACTAAGGCTTGCTTTATGTCACCATTTCTCTTCAGCTACATTGGTGCATTGGTCTTCACAAAGCCCTGGGTGGCAGAGGCACAAAAAACAGAGGAAAAAACCAGCCCTCACCAGACATGGTGGCTCACACCTGTAATCCCAGCACTTTGGGAGGCCAAGGCCAGTGGATTGCTTGAGCCCAGGAGTTGGAGACCAGCCTGGGCAACATAGTAGGACCTCATTTCTACAAAAAATTTTAAAATTAGCTATGTGTTGTCGTGTGCACCTGTGGTCCCAGCTACTTAGGAGGCTGAGGTAGGAGGATCACTTGAACCTGGGGGTGGGTGGAGGCTGCAGCAAGCTGTGATCACCCCACTGTACTCCACCCTGAGTGATAGAATGAGACCCCATGTCAAAAATAAATAAGTTAAAAGGCCCTGGAGGGCACAAAGGACCCTTTCCAACACCAGCAGTGTTTCAAAGAATGGGCTTTGGTCAATCAGGCCTGGACTAAAAGACTTACTGGCTATGTGTGACCTCAGGCAAGCTATTTAAACCTCCTAAAATGCAAGTTCTTCTATAAAACAGGGATAACTATATGTAGGGATGCCCGATCCCCTTTACCAGCCAGTGCCCCTATCCCAAGCTCTGTGAGTAACAACAGATGACACAGCCCTCTGCAGAAAGCAGCCCTTGGTCAACAAATGGTCATCTTGTCTAGGAAGCCACCAGGCCCTGCCTCATCCCCAACCCAGGCCAATGACTGATGGCACGGGAGTACAAAAGACCAACTCTCTCGACTCCTTGAGGGACCCGGCTGTGGTGTAATTCACAGAGCTTCCCATGGGATCATGAGAACGCCACAGCTAGACTCCAGTTGAGGACACATCCTTTCTCTGCTCCCTGCCCTGTCTTGCCCCTTTCCTCCCCTTCTCCTCAGAGCCCTCCACTAAGACATCAGTGACAAAAAATCACTACTTAGAGCTCTGCTTATAGGGAGCCTGACCTGAGCACTATTTCACAAGGCTGCTCTTGGGATCTGGTGAGATACTGCAGGGGAGCCTCACAGTGTGAGCTATCATCATCACCATCATCATCATCAATATCATCCTAAATGGCCTGGAAGAATTCTTTGAGCTGCTTCAAAACTGCCCCAGGCACTGTTCCAAGGATTCCATCAAGTAGAGCAGAAGCAAGGAGGTGGGTGGGGAGGAGGAAATGGCTAGGCCTAATGGAAAGTGAGAAGGACCCTGATTGGAGCAGACAGGGCTGGTGTACGGATGCAGGTACACACTGAGGTAGGAAGGGAACTGGAGGTTCACTGAGCACTTGCCAAGCTCCAGGTTGTACCCATGTTCCCACATTGTCTTAGTTTGGGTTTCCGTAGAAGCAGACTCTGGGAGAGGGATCTGAGTATAAACAGTTGACTGGGCAATGATGCCAGGAAACATGATGGATGGAGTGGGAAAGTGAGGCAGGAAGGGAGGGCGGTCAGCGAGGGCTATTACCAATGAGTCACCACTGTGAGCACCTGGAGCTCAATCCTGGTGAGGATCTCTGGGTGCCAGTGCAGAACAAAAGCCTCAGAGTTGGTCTACAAAGGCGAGAGGGAGCTGGGGTGTTTATACACCAACTCCCATCAGTTCCGGTTGAGGCTGCTCCCTGTTCCCGGGGACAGGAGTTCCTCAACACCCCACTACAGGTGGAGCAGCCTCCAGCTGCTTGGAGAAAGTCCTCAGGCAAAGCTGCAGGGATGGCAGTGGGAGGAGGCCAGAGTCCCTGAAGAGGGAAGCCCTGAGGCACCCACAGGTCTGCTACACTACTTTACCCACACCACTGCTGGGAAGAAGAGCCTGCATTTGCATTTTGAAGATGAAAAAGCAGCTCAGAGAGGTTAGGCCACTCACCCATGGTCAAACAGCTGCAAGATCTGATCTTTCAATTATGCCAGGGCCAGCCACAGTCAGGCCTGTGAGGAACTGTTGGAGGCTGGGGGAATCTGAGCACTGCAGGAGAGGAAGCTCCTGAATAATGTGCTCCTGCAATTAACGGGTTCAGAGAAAAACAAGCCTTTTTAACAGTCTCACTCTGTCTGCCAGACTGGAGTGCAGTGGTGTGATCTCGGCTCACTGCAAGCTCCGCCTCCCAGGTTCACGTCATTCTCCTGCCTCAGCCTCCTGAGTAGCTGGGACCACAGGCGCCCGCCACCGCACTCGGCTAATTTTTTGTATTTTTAGTAGAGACGGGGTTTCACCGTGGTCTGGATCTCCTGACCTTGTGATCCGCCCGCCTCGGCCTCCCAAAGTGCTGGGATTACAGGCATGAGCCACCTAACCTGGCCGAAACAAGGCTTTTTAATGTATCTTCTGAGCAGAAACAGTTGTTGGACTGTCGCTTAATGAAGACGAATCTATATAAAATCACTTTGTAAATTATACTGTACAATACAGATACTGGTTCACAACACCACGGCCCTCAAACCACACCCACTACTGCCCACTGTTCAAAGCAGGTCTGGCTCATTAAGCACTGTCCAGTGACCAATTCACCCCTATTTGGTTCGAGGGAAAATGCACAAAGGTATACCACTCTCTAGCAGTCTGTTTTCAGCCACAGTGTCCTGGGCTTACCTGATCAAACCCAAACTGGGTTTTCTAGAGGAAGGGCTTCAAGGGGTCATGGTTACCTTCTTGTGCCTGTCCTTCGCCGCACTGATATCGTCTTGCAAAAATTGGGCTTCCAGCTGAAGGCGCAGGTTATGCAGCAAGGCTTCATCAGCTTCCTGCAATGAGAGCCACATATCCCTGGCCACAGGCACCATGGAGCGTAGGGGTAAAGCTAGCCGGGTATATGAGTACACAGACCACCTGGGAGCTTACTGAAATGCAGACTCTGATTCAGTAGGTCTGGGAGGGATCTGAAATTATGCATTCTAGCAAGGCAATGGCTTAGTCCATTGGACCTGTTCTAGAACAGCAGTTCCCAACAGAGGGTGATTTTGTTCCCAGGGGGACATTTGGCAGTGTCTAGAGATATTTTTAGTTGTCACCACTTTAGTGGTAGGGTCCTTCTATTGGCAACTAGTGGGTAGAGGCCAGGGATGCTGCTAAATACCCTACAATACACAGGACAGCATCCCCCCACAACCCTGCACACAAGGAATTCCCCTGCCTAAAGGGTCAATACGGCCAGGGTTAAGTAACCTTGATCTAGAAAGATCGGAGCACTAGGTATATTTACATACCAAATAAAGTTAATATTTAAGTAACCTCTGTATTTGTTCTATATGTCATCATCAGTGAGTTGGGTTTCTAAGACTGAAAGAAAGAGTTTTCCCTTAAATCCTGAAGTCTGTATTCTAGTAGTTTTCTCCCAAGGACTGTTAATATTTACCCTGAGAAGATGCATCTTTAATACAAAAATGCATTTTTTAGAATGACTGTTTTGTGAATAGCATTTGTTCCTCTAAGGTTGGAAACTACACTGATCACAAAAGGTTGAATTTTCTCAGGAAACTTTCTGATAATTCACTGGCTCTTACCTCATTGATCTAGTTTGAATATACCAAATAGGTATGAAAGAATTCTTAATGCTCTTAATAAGATTGTGCTGCGATGTCCAGAAATGACTTATATACTTTGGCATCTTCAGTGTGATATTACAGGTGAGCATTACTTGGATTCGTCAGGATTCCCCACTCTCCCAAGATACCTCTGCCATGCACACCTGCCAACACCTGAGGCCTTGGGAAATGGATTTTTACTGACTTATTAGTGACTTGCTAATAAAATAATGAATATTAGCAATGGGATCTCATTAATCAAGGGGGACATGTGATTTGGCTAAAATATGTAAGAGACACTGTCCACGCTCGCATGAACAGAGTTATGACAGTCACGATATGTGGACTGGCCATGAGATGTAGAGACACTCCCCACCCTTGTGCTACTAGGGTTTCAGTTCTGGCAAGGCCTTGAGACTGTTCTCTTAAGAAAGGCACTTGGGGCCAGGCGCAGTGGTTTACGCCTGTAATCCCAGCACTTTGGGAGGCTGAGGCAGGTGGATCACCGGAGGTCAGGAGGTCGAGACCAGCCTGACCAACATGGAGAAACTCTATCTCTACTAAAAATACAAAATTAGCCAGGCGTGGTGGCACATGCCTGTAACACCAGCTACTCAGGAGGCTGGGGCAGGAGAATCGCTTGAACCTGGGAGGCAGAGGTTGCAGTGGGCCAAGATCACGCCATTGCACTCCAGTCTGGGCAACAAGAGTAAAACTCTATCTTGAAATAGATAAATAAATAAATAAATATAAAAGGCACTTGGTTCCTCAGTTGCTCTTGTGAAAGACCACTGGTGTAGCAAGATTTCTGATTGTCTGATGCTGACAAGAAGGATCCTGAAATTCTGACTCTATTGTAGCCTCTGCCTTGAATGAGCTTTCCATGCAAAGTGTTCTCTTAGCACCTAAGACACCAGAGCTGAGACTTCATGGAGCCTACACAGAAGGTTGTGTGGACCCTGGGGGCCTGCATCACAATAAATGTTAATATTTAACAAATCTCTCTGTGTGAATTTGGTCTGAAGCATTAGCAAGATGGTAGGGGAGTGGCCAACCCTCATCCAACTCAAACTTCTCAAGCTTTTTTATCTATCCAAGAGAACTGAAGATTTTATCTTGCAGAACTTGAGAGTTGTATAAGATCAAATTAGTTAATGTGCAACCCTTAGGAATGTATCTTAAAACATTTCCTTCCTTTTCAATCAGCCATCTGTAGTGAAGCCGCCACCAAAATGCAGATTTTCATGAAAACCCTTACAGGGAAGACCATCACCCTCGAGGTTGAACCCTCAGATACGACAGAAAATGTAAAGGCCAAGATCCAGGATAAGGAAGGAATTCCTCCTGATGGGCAAAGACTGATCTTTGCTAGCAAAAGCAACTGGAGGATGGATGTACTTTGTCTGACTACACATTCAAAAGGAGTCTACTCTTCATCTTGTGTTGACACTTCGTGGTGGTGCTAAGAAAAGGAAGAAGTCTTAACACCACCCCAAGAAGAATAAGCACAAGAGAAAGAAGACTAAGCTGGCTGTCCTGACATATTATTATTAATTATTATAATATTAAAAATATTAAGGTGGATGAGAATGGCAAAATTAGTCACCTTCATCAAGAGTGCCCTTCTGAGGAATGTGGTGCTGGAGCATTTATGGCAAGCCACTTTGACAGACATTATTGTGGCAAATGTTGTCTGACTTACTGCTTCAACAAAGCAGAAGACAAGGAACTGTATGAGCTGATAAAAGACATGAACTAACAAAACAAACAAACAAAACATTTCCTTTTGCGTTTCCTCCTGCCTCAGCCTCTCAAGTAGCTGGGACTACAGGCGTGCACCACCACGCCCAGCTAATTTTTGTATTTTTAGCAGAAATCGTGTCTCACCATGTTGGCCAGGCTGGTCTTGAACTCCTGACCTCAGGTGATCCAACCACCTCGGCCTCCCAAAGTGCTGGGATTACAGGCATGAGCCACCGTGCCTGGCCAATTTTAAACTTTCTAGAAGTAGCCACATTAAATAAAATAAAAAGAAACAGGTGAAATTAATTTTAATAACATATTTTATTTTACCCAGTATACCCAAAATATTATCATGTCATCATGTAATCAATAAGTTAGTGGTGAGATATTTTCCATTCTTGTTTTCAGATCAGGTTTTTGAAACTGTTGTGTATTTTACACTCATCACACATCCCAATTCGAACTCCCCACATTGCAGGTACTCCACAGCCACGTGCGGCTGGTGGCTGCCATACTGCATGGCACGGCTCTGTGGGAGCAATTTTCGGCAATGGAAGATCTTGTTCCTCCTCAGTGCTCCTCCAGGTTTCTGCTCCAGGGTGAATCCCCAGGTAAGGAGCCCTCGACAGAACGGGGAAGGACACCAGTGTCCAAAGTTGTTCCTCACCCCGGTCCCTGGACTCTCCTGTCTACTCTCTCCAAGGCTTCTCCTGATTCCTGGCCCTAGTACCGGGCCCCTGCTGCCACCAGCACCGCTGTCCACTGGGAGAAGCTAGAGCTTCTGGGAAAACCGCTCCCTTCAATAAATCTACACATGGTCTGAAGTTTTTTTGGGTTTTTTGTTTTAAATCAGAAATAGAAGAATGAACCAAATTACAAAAAGAGTAACATTTTTCCAGATCCAGGACACTGAACTGTCCAAACTACAAGAATATGAAATCTAACTATGGGACTTAGCTTCTGAGCTCATTCGTGTGTTTAATTAATTAGCCATTGACCTTTAAAGAGCTCTGCCTTCAGGGGGTTACCATTCTGGGCCCTTAATGATGGGTCCTCACATCCTGCAACCCAGGGATGACAGTGAGGGAGGGTCTAATGAAAACTCAGCTGTAGCGTTTCTTCTTCCAGAAGGCGTGCGCTACCCAGCCCGGGGCGATCAGACCCAGACTGATGCACTCCTGCAAATCGAGGCATTCCTACCCCAGGGGAAGTGGGCAGACCCCTTGGAGATCCTGGTGCCTGGTCTTCTGAAATACCCATAAGTATTTCACAAGCCTGTGAAGCCTTTTGTAAGAGAAATGGTGGAAAGGGAAGCCTGAATCTTTCCAGCAACAGAAAACGGTGGAGGATTCAGAAAGACCTGGGTAATTTGTAAAATACAAAAAAAAACCAGACCTCAGGAAAGACGGAAACCAGGGCAGTCTCAGGAATCTAAGTAGCAGGAGTCAAGGACCTGTCCTCAGAGTGACCCAGCTCTGAATCAGTTCATCCCTGCAGCCCTCCCTCAGGAGAGCTGTGATTGGCCAGCACGGGTCACATGACCACCATCTTGACTGACAGCTGGACCACATGATGGGAAAGACAATCACAGTGTTCCGGGAGGCCTCACCACTCCCTTCAAAGGCAATGGTTCCTTGTGGAGTGATTCTCAGCCCCTGGGAGGGGACCACACCCTCAGAGAGGCCTGGCTAAATCTGGGCCCGAGGTGCAGGAGTATTGGGTGGATGTTGTTCTACCTTCCCTCTGCCCATCTTAAGACTGCTGAGGATGGGGTGGGATACAGAATTCTCAATTACTCTTACCAAAATGCATACATGATTGAGCCACAAAGCTGAATGACTAGAAACAGGGCTTCAAGGACCCTTTGTGTGATTATTTAAAAGGAATCAAACATTCCAAATTTTAGAAATAGAAGGGACCCTAGGGGTCACTGGTCCTCAAACTTTTGTTAAGCCACATGTGCCATCCTTTGAACAAAGCAGTCCATGAAAGCCACTGTACTGAAGCAAAACCAAGGGGCCACAGGCATCCCCCTTGCTCAGCTGCCCTCTTCCCTTAGAGACTCTTCAAGCAACTCCATGCAACATGAGAGCTCTGCCAAATGCACCTTGAAGTCCAGAGCCTCCCTCCATGTATGCGGGGCTGAGGCCAGACCGATGCAGTGCGTCACTGAGCTCGTGAATGGAAGTTAGTGGAAGATAATGGGCCTGGAACCTGCCGTGGGCTTCTCTCTACTGGCCAAGAGCTGAGTGCTAAGCCCTGACTCCATCCTTTGAGGTGCCTGTCATTCTTCCCCACCTCCCTCCTAGGATTGTGCTAAAACCACCAGCACTGGATCCCATCAGTTAAATCTTTACAATTGCTCATAGTGATAGTAAAAGGCCAGTCAATAGTTATTCTTAAAATAGGGATTAAGCAGATGTTTCTGCAAGCACACTGTCCTGCTTTGAAGATAATCACCTGATAAGCTGACCCCA